ATTACAGGTAAGATTTATTTGATACTTATTTAGGATTACATCACAGCATTCTATTTTGAATAGTAACTTAGTATTAGTACTATAATTACAATCTGACACTCGCCCTAACAAATTCATTGGTTTTAGATTGAAGAAGCATTACAATACCTGTGGCTTTAAAGGCTAACTGGATTTGTTTAGCCAACATCTTCAAGATGAAATAAAGAACCATTTTAAAGATTTTTCTTTCTCAACTTTTTATCGGTAATCTATAAGTAAACTTTTGTATTTCCTTAATAAATTTCGTACCTCAACAACAGTCTTTTATTGTTTTAACATAAAATATCCTACAGTTTAAATAAGTAAATATGTAATTTATTGTTCATTAATTATGTTATAATACTAATAATCCTACTAACCTAAGTAGAAGCAACAAACAGGTTTACCACCTAATCATAATAAACAGAAAAGTGTGAGTGTGAGGAGAACTTAGGAGTTCTCCTGAAACATCAAGACGAAGCAGAACTAATGTGACTTGACAATGACAAGTGTGATCCGAAACATCGTCAAAACAATGGTTTTTCTAAAAACCAAAATTACTTAACGCGGAGTCAAACCCGGAAAACAAATGAAATCATACATATATATATATATATATATATATATATATATATATATATATATATATATATATATATATATATTATATATATATAATATATATATATATATATATTATATATATATATATATATATATATATATATATATATATATGTATATATATATATATATATATATATATATATATATATATATATAGTAAACTCTTAAATATTGGGGAATTGCAAGAAGATTTCCCCAATATTTGAACAACTATTATTTACTATACTATATTACTATATTTATTATTTAACTTATCTGCAAAGATTAAATTCATTCTCTCTCTCTCTCTCTCTCTCTATATATATATATATATATATATATATATATATATATATATATATATATATATATATATACATATATATATATATATATATATATATATATATATATATTTATATATATATATATATATATATATATATATATATATATATATATATACATATATTATCAGGATCACTCAGACGAGCGGTTAGTTCTTATATCGGTGTCAAGGTGGAGAAATAAAAGACAAATTTGATAGGCTACTTTATCCAGTTTGAAGACGTTTCGCTTTCGTATTCTGAAAGCATCATCAGTTCATCTAAAAAGTACAATATGAGAACCACACAATCATGGAGAAGATGTTATGTGTTACCTTAAAAAGGTAACTAACTATATATATATATATATATATATATATATATATATATATATATATATATATATATATATATAATAGTAAACTCTTAAATATTGGGGAAATGTGCAAGAAAAACTCTAATGTGTATTAATTGTTTCGCCTAACGTTTTCGCCAAAGAGAATTAATTTGGCTTTTTTAGGGCTAAAAGAGAATAAATTATAATTAGCTACCGTATATTATCTATTAGAAAACATTATTTATCTTACCGTAACTTATTAAAAATGTTGAGTTAGGATGTTAAAAAACTTTGCTAGTAATAACATAGTGGTGTTTTTTGTAACTATATGCAAAAAAAAGTTTTTTTTTAACGTTGGAAATGTATGGTAGCTTTGAAGTAAAAACGCAAAGGTTTACCAAAGGTCAATCGAAAAACCCAATGTAACTACATTTAAAGGAAGTAATTCTTTGAATTGTCGGCAATAACTAAATTTTTCAATGTTACAAAGTTTAAATGTGAGGTTCTGTTTTCTCAGAACGCATGTGCTGAACAATTACAAGTAGGCCTTTTGAATATTCATGTCGTCAAGGTTCATTGGTAAAATCGATGAAGTTAAATCCCAGTTTGGGGAGATATTATTATAGAATTTTCTTAATTGAAATTTTTTTTTAATTATAGTATATTGTTCATGTATTATTATAATAATATCTTATTAAGATGTATCTAAGAAAAGCAAGGGAATATTGTCTCTTTTAGTTAATGAAAATTATTATTAAAGTAGGTTAGTTGTTAATGGATATATCAGACAAGTTAGTTATCTGTGATGTTGTATTGTTCTTGGTATCTGATTTAAGTAAGAAATGGTAAATATCGCTTAGATTCTTAATGTCACTCTTAAAATTGATGGAGAAATCGTTAAGGAAAATATAAGACATTTCAATGAACTCTCTTTTAGATTTATTGTTCTTACGGTGGAGAATTGTAGTATTAGTATAGTCCATGAGATGACCAGTGGAATAGACATATTTGGCTTATGCACAGCGGTCAGAATGAAGTGAGAATCACTTTTCTGAAATGTAATACATGATTTCAATAATTGAGATGTTTAGCCGATGTAGGAATAGCTGCAAGAGAGGTATGGAATGTTGTAGACAATGTTACTAAGCCTATCTATGGGAGTCGAATATTTTATCTTCGAATAAAGATTATTAATTGTAAGTGCTGAACTACAAGCCACATTAAGTTTAATGTTTTTATTATTATTCCCAAAGCTATTTTCAACACTTTTTTAAATCCTTATTAACCACGGGGTAATATCTCTGAAATATGGTAGTGAAAATATTTGTTGATAGGAGTATTCGAGATTGGATTCCCACTTAAGATATCAGGATTAGCATTGTTAGTCAGGAGAGAAGGTGAAGTATCTTTGTTATGGTTAGTGTTAAACAAAATCCCATTCACTAATGGTGTTGGATAAGCGTTTGAAATAAAAAGTTTCTGTAGGATTTGTAGGTTTTTTGTATGAAATGAAGGATCTGATAGTTTAATTACTCTATTTTTCATCTGTTTGATTAAGTTGACTTTGGTAGAATTATTATGGTAAGAGTGGTAGTTAAGGTATCTACCAGAATGGGTCTCTTTTTGATACCAATCTATTTTAATGTTGTTGCTTTCCCTAATCATCCTTATCTCGAGAAAGGGGACGGACCAATTACCATCTTCCCTCTTTATAGTGAACTGAATGTAGGGGTCATAACTATTAAACGTATCTAATAGTTCATCTACCTTGTCACTGGGTATAGCAAAAATTATTTCATTAACATATTTTTTAATAAATGGAATTTGAAAGGATAGTAAAGAAAGGACTGAGTCTTGTCATGATGATGTCATTTGGATGTTGGCATTTGCTGGAAATTGCCTATTGAATAATAAAGGACAGGTGTGTCAACCGTCAACTTAAAACGATGTCTTGTTGTATTTCATTTATAATAATTAATTAATTAATGCAAAATAAAATAAGTAAGCACACAAATATTATATGGCGCAGTCATATTTCGATATGTTCGCACCCTAAGGAGAATTGATAAGTAATATTTTGAAAATTGTTATGTAATTGTAATTTCACATAACCTCCAAAATGAACGAGCACGTTGTTCCAGTAACAGAACTTTGTTTTGATGGTAATATGGCAGATAATTGGAGCTTTTTCGAACAAAAATTTAAAATATTTTTGGAAGCCAGCAAGCTTAATGAGGAGAACGACAGTTTGCAAGGCAGCGTGCTGTTGAATCGAATTGAAGACCGGGCTCTTCGTATTTATAACAATTTCGAGTGGTCTTCAGATGAAAGTAAAACTTCTTGTAAAGTTATTCTAACAAAGTTTAAAAAGTACTTTACACCTTCCAAAAATGTCACATATGAACGATACTTATTTTTCACTCGAGACAAGATAGGGCTAGAGATATACGACTCATATGTAACAGAACTGAGACAACTTGCAAGTACCTGTGAATTCGACACTCTAACTGACAGTTTAATACGTGATCGTCTAATCCTTGGAATCTCAGATGTTTCATTAAAGGATAGATTGTTACGAGAACAAGGTTTAACACTGAGCCGTGGATTAGAAATATGCAGAGCTGCTGAGGTGGCAGCAAGACAGTTGAGTGTTATTAGCGGAGCCAATAGTAGCCAATCGTTAGAAGTTCTAGAGATACAAAAGCAGAAAAAACATTATTCAAATAGAAGCCAGCAGCTTAAACCTGTTCCTCAATGTACATCTGATTGTGGTCAGTATTACCGAAATCATCCCCAGATGTCAGGAAATCAACAGATAAGTAATAATTTTATAAAAAACTGTTATAAGTGTGGTTCTAAGCATAAGTTAAACAAGTGTCCTGCTTATGGATTACGGTGTAAAATTTGTAATAAATTTAACCATTTTGCAAAAGTTTGTAATGCTAATGGTTATAAAAATATAAAAATGTCCATCAAAGTGATACTGATTCAGATTATGATTTTTCGCCAGATAAAATTTTTCTAAATAATATAAATGAAAAGTCTTCAGAAAAGTGGTATGAAGACTGTTTTATAAATAATAAAATAATTGTATCCTTTAGATTAGATTCAGGAGCAGACTGTTGTGTTTTGCCATACACTTATTTTAAAAAATTAAATATTCAAACTTCTGAACTTTCTAGTAGCACCATTAAAATTACTGATTATAATGGAAAAATAATAAATTCAATAGGAAATCATGAATGTGTTGCTTGTGTGAGTCCATTTCAAATAGGTAAAGAAATAATAAATAAGACTTACTCACAATCAATTTAATTTAACTATCAGACGACCGGTTTCACTTTCTACAATATGCAAAGCATCCTCAGGTTTCGATACAAAGTTAAACAAATGCTGAAATAATAAAAACCCATATTAGGGTGTTGTCTAATAACGATAAACAAAGTAGGTGTTGTAAATTACAATATTTATGCCAATATTACATGTCTGTGGTTTTATTTAAATGAGTAAGTTGAATAAAAAGGTATAAATTTTTTTAAAAAGTTAAACAGACAAGGTAAGGCCCACAATTTTACTAACTATTTTATAACAAATTGTTATAGAGAATTTCCCAATTTCAAATTGTAAAATTAGAGAGTTTCAAAAACAAACTGCAGAAGACCCTCATTTAATACAACTCATGAAATTAATTACAGAGGGATTCCCTGATAGTA